TACAAAGTAACTAGCTAGATTATAATTTCATATTATAATTCTAAGTGTTTTGTATTTTATTGATCAAATTGTATATCTATGTATTTAGGAAGTATACCAAGTATCTAGGTGTCATCCTCCATAGCGCTCAGAGTCCCCCAACCCTCAGGTGGGAAGGCTTTGGTGTAGGGGACAGTTCCTCATGGGAGACTCAGCTCGCTCACTGTTTTACTCTGTCCTCTGCAGACTTCACCCGAATGCAGGACATCCCGGAGGAGATAGAGAGCCGCGATGGGGAGCCTGTGGCTTCAGAGAGCTAAGGGTTCCCTCTCCCTGTGCTGCACCCCACTGAAGAACATTACTGAGGGGGGCAAACCTTGGTGACTCCAATCTGCTAATGATGAGGGAACGTTTGAAAGAACTGCTGATCGTCCTTGCCAGCTCTTGGAATCCTTGGATACCTGGGGCCATTTAGCAAGCCAGGGGGTTTAGGCCACGGTATCCCCTTGGTGGCATCCAAAAGCTACACCACAGATGCCAATTTTTCATGCCTTCTTCCCTCTACTTTAGGAAAATTTATTTATTTATTGTTTATTAGTTATGGGGGGAGAGGGGCGATTTAAAGGACCAGGGACATGGGAACCAAGCCATAGGGATCAGGGGGCCTTGTCCTTTAACACTACTGGGGTGTATTCAGGGTTAGCCATGCGCTGACAGGTTCTGGCCCTGACATCCTTCCCCAGCAACACACATCTTCAACAAGAGGCTACAACCACAGGACCCTACTGCCCCTTTAAGGAGGGCTGAGGGCAGGGCCATACCCCTCTCCCTGCCCCCCTCCACCTCTTACTACTGCTCTCTCCATCCTCCAGGAAACCCAGGGAGAGAAGACCTGGCTTCCTAGAGTTGGTGGCATAGAAGTTAGGGCGGCCATAATGGTTTATTGGGGGTGAGGGAAAAAACCCACAGGGACCAGAATGTTTTACTCTTCTTTTCTTTTCTTTTTTGTACCAAAGCCAACTGCACGTGTTTTATACTTTTAAGAGAAGATTGTAGGCAGTAGAGATCGTAGCCTTCTATTTCCAACTCTGAGCTTGAGGGAAGAATGGGGAGAGTGACCTCTCCCTTCATCTAGAGTAATGGCGCTCCTATCTGACCCTCTTTATCAGCCATTTGGAAGAAGTTCTAGGGTGGGTTAGGGAAGCTGTATGAATCCTGACTTCATCTCCCACCTCAGTAACCATAACCTGAAACCTCAGCGTGAATTTGGGGGGTTTTCAGTGGACTCCCCCAGTGCCCACCAGCTCCAACCATTTTTCTGCCAATATGATTGTTAAAAAAAAAAAAAGAAAGAAAAAGATCAAGCAGGGAAAATTAAAGACTGAAAACCCATGAAGTGCTGTCTTGTAATATCTGCTAGTTCTGAGGGTGATGGTGAGAGAGCAAGCAGGAGTGACCCAGATTCCTCTCTGGGTCTCGTGGTCTCACCAGAAGGGCCCTCTGCCTCACTGCAGAGAAGGGGCACTAATGAATGAAGCCATACAGATCTTTAAAATGAACAGTTGTTCTGGACATGGTGGCACATGCCTGTAATCTCAGCTACTCAGGAGGCTAAGGCAGGAGGATTGCCTGGTCAGGGCCAGCCGGGTAACTGAGTGAGACCCTGTCTCAAAAAATTCAGAAAAAGGCTAGCCCGGCACAGTGGATCATGTGTGTAATCCCAGCAGTTCAGGAGGCTGAGGCAAGAGGATCACAAGTTTGAGGCAGTTTCAGCAACTTAGCAAGGCCTTAACCAACTTAGTGAGACCCTGTTCCAAAATTAAAAATAAAAAGGGCTAGGGATGTGGCTTAGTGGCTAAGCACCCCTGGGTTCAATCCGCAGTAACAAAAAAAAAGGCACTCGGGTTCCAGCAGCTGTTGGGGATGCCAATATTACAAAGCTTACTTTCATCTTATTTGTATGCTGTGCTAGAAGTACTATCTGCCTTTTGGCACGGTTCTTGTAACCTCCCCAGTGTCACTCATCTCATATTCAACCCCCTCCTGCTCTGGTTTGTCCCCAGTGTCCGCCTTCACCCGAGCTCCTGGTCTGCTCTTTGCCTCTGGTTTCAGTTCTTGTTTTTGCCTCATTTCACTTCTCATTTCTAGTTGACACCCTTCACTTGGGCCAGGGGTGGAGAGCATGGGGCTGTTTGTGCACACTGCTGGAGCTTGCGGGGTGAGATGAGAAGAAGGGGGCTCAAAAGCCCGCCTCGGAAGACTGGAGGTTGCATGGAGACACTAACCCGCATCTGGATCTTCCAAGGGGCTTTATCTCATCCATTACTGGAATCCTAGGAGGTAGAAAAAGTCACCAAGCCAGGAAAAAGCCAGTCCTAGTTCCAGCCCTTCACTTCTCTGCCTGAGAATGTCAGAGCTTCAAGTTTCAAACAGACCCAGGCCTCAGCAGCTCCTTGTCTTCTGCCCCAAAATGTGGTGCCAAAGCATTTCTCTGATGCTGATCCCCAACAGCCAGAGCCTCCCAGCTTTCATCATCCTGACCCTTGTCACCCCTTTAATTCTACTTTTGAAAACTCCCGATTGGACCTCTATCCCTCCTGCTGCTTTTATTTTTATTTATTTATTTATTTATTTTTTTTGGTGGTGGTGGTGGATGGTTGGTTCTGGTGACTGAACCCAAGGGTGCCTTACCACTGAATTGTATCCCCAGTTGTTTTTTTGAGACTTGGGATTCTCCTGCCTCAACTCCCAAACTGCAGGGGTTCTAGGCATCCTCCACTGTGCCAGGCATCCTACTGCAGTTTCCAAGCCAAGCCTTCCATTGCGCCTTCCACTCCCAGAGGAGATCCAAGCCTGCCGCGTCCCACCCTGCCCAGGCTTCCCCCTCCACTGCCCTTCCTCTCTCCCACTCTCCTCCAAAGGCAAGTCAATGTGCATTAACTCGTTGCTGACTTGGACCTTTGTAAATTTTGTCAATATTTACCTCCGGTTCCCATAAAGCCAAGATGCCCCCAGAGGAGCCAATATCCGCAGGCTGCTGGAGGTGGGAAGAGGGATACTTAGGTAGGGGAGCATTTTCCATCTTCCTGAATTGGCTGGGAACTGACCTGGAGTTTTGGAACCAGTTTAAACATTATCAAAAAGAGGAAATTAAACATCAGTGAGCTAATTAAATCTCTTTCCCATTGCTTAATACGCTGTGAATTGGGTAGCCTCTTCTCGGCAACTGAATGGTACAGGGCAGGGAAAGGAGCCTGGAGGCACATGGTCTCCCCTTCAGAGAGGGTGCTGGTGTCCTGGGTTACAAGGTGTGCTAGAGAAAGGACAGTGGAGGGCAATGGAAGTGGAACCTCCAGCCCAGCCTCCCTCTGCCTCTTACCTTCTTTCCAAGGACTCTCCTCCTGAAACGCCCTTCTAATAGCTAACCATCATTAAAAACGGGAGGCCAGGGGTGGTGGCTCATGCCAGTAATCCCAGTGATTTAGGAGGCTAAGTCAGGAAGATGCAGAAAGAGTTCAAAGCCAGCATGGACAAAAAGCAAGGTGGCTAAGCAACTCAGTGAGACTCTGTCTCTAAGTACAAAATAGAATTAGGGATGTGGCTCAGTGGTTGAGTGCCCCTGAGTTCAATCCCTGGTATCCAACAAACAAATGGGAGTGTGTAATGGCACACACCTATGATCCAAGCAGTTTGTGGGAGGCTGAAGCAGAATGATTGCGAGTTCAAAGCCAGCCTCAGCAATTTAGAGGCGCTAAGTAACTCAGCAAGGCCCTGTCTCTAAGTTAAATATAAAGGAAGGCTGGGGGATACAGCTCAGTTGGTAGGGTGCTTGCCTTGCACGCACAAGGCCCTGGGTTCAATTCCAAGAACCACTCACAAAAACAAAAAAGGCTGAGGATGGGGCTCAGTAGTTAAGTGTCCTGGGTTAAATCCCTGGTACCAAAAATAAACCAAGTCGAGCCCTCTGTCCTAGAGACCCATCTTTGAGAGGGGTTTACTGCGAGACTTTCCTTATAACCCATGGCATGTAAAACCACTTCAAAAAGACCAGCTGCCCTTTATTTCCTCCTTTCCCTTCGTCCCCATTTTACATGGGATGTGAGAATAATAGCAAAAACACCATATTTCTTGCATCGTTGAACCCTTTTACAGATTAGAAAACTAAGGCACAAAGCGGTAAGTAACTTGTCTGAGGTAAAGGTGAAAATCAGGTGCTCTAGCTATGTTGAATTGGAGCTATGCATTCAGGGTAGGGACTCGCACCACTTCTCGCCCTACCGTTCGCCTCCTTTCCCTCCACTCCTTTCTGCATCTTTCACCTCCGTCTGCCCCATACGTGTCTTTGACTTGCTGTTATCACTTTTTTTTTGAGGGGGGTACTACTGGGCACTCAACCACTGAGCCATATTCCCAGCCCTTTCTTGCATTTCGTTTAGAGACAGGGTCACTGAGTAAATTGCTCAGGGCCTTGCTAAATTGCTGAGGCTGGCTTGGAATTCATAGTCCTCGGGCCTCGGCCTCCTGAGCCACTGGGATTATAGGCACCAGTGATAACCTTCCAAATCCTAATTCAAGGAGAGACAGCACTAGGGATTTACACAGGGGTCTGGCAGGTGCAAGGGATTCTGGCAAGACCCCACAGCTGGCATCGCAGGGAGCTGAACAAAAAGAAATAGTCTGTTTAGAGGTGAGGGTGGGGAGGACGGACAGAGGGAGATGGGCACTGACCTCTGATCCATGAGCCTAGACCCCTACAGGGAAAATGTCCTCTGAGAATTCTTGCACTGTCCTGGAGGCGGAACAAGGACGAAGGGTCAAGACACCTGTAGGTGACAGAGGTTTATTCTGGGTTCCTCCTCTTTCCCACCTCTGTGAGCTGTTGCCCCAGCCCTTATCCCCTGGCCCCAGGCCCTGGCCTCCCCCATTCCACCACACCCAGAGTTGGTGATCAAAGGTCAGACTTTCCCAGAGGACACTGAGCCTAGCCCAGGGCAGCTTAGAATGTGTGGATCCTGCACCTGCTGTACCCTTCACCCAGGTGTCCCTCTGTCCCCATTCATGAGCATGGCAGAAGGACCACTCTCCTGGGGCGTACTGGCTGCCCACTGCCTGCCTACCTCCTTTAGGGCCACGTGTTCCTCCCAGCTTGGGCCCTGGGGCCACAGCCTTGAGCGCAAGTCCCTGAAGGTGTCTGCCAGGGCCTGCCGCGGCTCCCTGCGCAGGAGACAGTAGAGCACGGGGTTGAGGCAGCTGTTGCTGTGTGCCAGGCACGTGGTGACGGGGAAGACGTAGGTGTGGATGGTGTAGAAAGTGCTGTTCCAGGGCGCCAGGTCAAACTTCACCAGGACACCCCAGAGAGTGACCACATGGTTGGGGAACCAGCAGAGGAAGAAGGAGGCCACCAGGATACGGACAGAGCGGGCCACAACTCTGCTGTCCTGCCGCCGCCTCTGCCGCCGCCGCAGGAAGGCCAGCAGCAGCAGATAGCTGGTGGAGATGATGCCCAAGGGCACCACAAAAGCCAGGACCACCCTCTGCAGCTGGTAGGCCCCCAGCCAGTACCTGCTGGGGAAGCGCAGCAGGCAGAGGCGCACACCCCACACCTCGCCCTCAGACCCAAAGATGGCCGTGGGCACCGTCACCAGAGCTGCCGCCAGCCACACTCCCAGGGTGGCCACACGGGCCCAGAAGAGTGAGAGGTGGGTGCCTGGCCCCACAGCCATGGCCACCACCCAGTATCGGGCAACACTCAGTGCTGTGATGAGGAAGATGCTGGCGTAGATGTTGAGGACAGTGGCCGTCAGGACCACTTTGCAAAGGGCACTTCCAAAGGGCCAGTGGAAGTCCAGTGCTGACTCTGCCGCCCAGAAGGGGAGAGTGAGGGCCAGCCCCAAGTCCGCCAGAGCCAGGTTGAAGACGAAAGTGTCGGAAGGTGGGCCAGGGACTCTCCGCGCGCAGCTGCCCAGCACCCACAGCACAGCCGAATTGCCCAGCAAGCCGATGGCCCCTACCATCCCGTAGGCCAAAGCAACCGTGACCCTGAGGGCGAGGAACTGCACGGGCATCCCAGCATCGTCGGCACTCAGCGCGCTGCCTCCAGAGGTGTTGACCCAGAAGAACGTGGGTACAGGGGAGGAAGTGTTGGGTGTGGGCATTGCAGGACATCGGAGGTTGGTGGTGCTGAATAAAGAGCCAACAAGTGCCTGCCAGGCTGGCAGGGGCCACTGAGGCACTCAGCAGGAGGTTCAGGGTGTGAGTGCTTCTCTGGGGCCTTTAGCCGCCAGCCAGGAGCCGCAGCCCACACCCACACCTCAGAGGGAGGGGGACAGCTGCCTGCTCCCTGTTGGGCCAGACCAGTGGTGGGTGGGGCATACCAAGACGGACCTGAAACCTGGGTGTGTGTGTGTGTGTGTGTGTGAGAGAGAGAGAGAGAGAGAGAGAGAGACAGAGAGAGAGAGAGAGAGAGCGCGAGCTCTGTACAATGAGGAAGGGGAGAATGGGGAGACAGCTCAGGAATGACAGGAGTCAAACCAAGGCTTCATCCGTCCTAGGCAAGCGTTCTGCCATTGAGCTACATCCCTAGCCTTTTCTATTGTTGGGGGATTTTTTTGTTTTTGTTTTTGAAAGAAGGTCTCTCCCAAAATGCCCAGACTGGCCTCAAACTGTGATCCTCCTGCTGCAGCCTCTCAAGTCTGTAATCCCAGGTGTGTGCCAATGCTCCTGGCTTCCCTCTACTCCCAACCGTGTGCAGAGTCCCTCTGCAGAAAGTGCTCTCTTGGGGCCCAGGGGAAGGGCAAGGAGTGGACACAGAGGCAGGAATCAGGACAAGTGTCTGAGAAGAGGGAGCAGAGGGTCTCGAGTCTCACATCTGCTACTCACTAGCTGTGTGCCTTTGGGTGAGTTATTACTTCCTGAGCTTATTTCTTTTTTTTTTTAATATTTATTTTTTAGTTCTCGGCGGACACAACATCTTTGTTGATATGTGGTGCTGAGGATCGAACCCGGGCCGCGCGCATGCCAGGCGAGAGCGCTACCGCTTGAGCCACATCCCCAGCCCTGAGCTTATTTCTTTGCTTAAAAGTTCCAGGAGTTGGGCTGGGGATGTGGCTCAGCGGTAGCGCGCTCGCCTGACATGCGTGTGGCCCGGGTTCGATCCTCAGCACCACATACCAACAAAGATGTTGTGTCCGCCGAAAACTAAAAAATAAATATTAAAATTCTCTCTCTCTCTCTCCTCTCTCTTTAAAAAAAAAAAAAGAAGAAGAAAAAGAAAAGAAAATGTGGAGAGAGAGGGGGTATAGCTCAGTGCTCAGTGGCAGGGTGCTTACTACTCAGCACGTGCAAGGCCCTGGGTTCAGTTCTCAGTAGGGGAATTTTTTTTTTTTTTTTTTCAGATAAAAGTCTCTGGCTGGGCATGGTGGTACACGCCTGTAATCTCAGTGTCTTAGAAGGCTGAGGCAAGAGGATCACCGGTTCAAAGTCAGCCTCAGCAACTTATCGAGGAACTAGGCAATTTAGTGAGACCCTGTCTCTAAATAAAATATAAAAGAGGACTGGGGGTATGGCTTAGTGGTTAAGTGCTCCTGAGTTCAATCCCCAGTTAAAAAAAAAAGTCTCTAACAAAATTGGTGTAATGATTTAAGTTAATACGTGTGAGACAGCACTTTGTATGTCTGTGCAGGAATGACTGCTATTTCAAAGGAGAAGTTTGGGGCGATTGTGGTGCAGGGGAGCTGGACACTGAGCAGCTATTGTCATCATGCCCAGGGCACAGTGCCAACTAAAACACAGGTTGGAATTCATCTCGGCAGCAAATGACCTGGAGGGTAAGCCCAGAGAGGGAAAGGAGAGAGGAAGTCACAGCTTCCTGTTCGTCCCCTGCAGGGAACGCTGGGCCTGTGGGGACCTGGGTGGACCTAGACATGCCTTCAGTTCTTACTCTGCTCTGTATTATTTCGTCCTTCCACCTGTGTCACCCACACTGCCACTTCACCTTTCCCACTCGGATCTGTGTAGCCAGAGTTCAACAGCACCCCACCCTCTCCTCTATTCCCCAAGCCCTGTTTCAGAGCTGTCACCACACCTCGTCCTGTCTCCCCATGATCTCAGTCCCAACTGGAAAAATGCCCCACTCGGTCATCACCTTTCATTGGCCATCTCTCTGTATGCAGCAGGAGCTGCACTGGGTAAAGGACAACATGCAAGGTGGGTAGGTAAAAGACAGGCTTTTTCAAGGATTCCAACATATTCAACATCTTGCCCTCTGCTGGCTAATTAAGATAATGTTTGGGGATTTTGTTTTTGTTTTTTCCTTTTTTGCAGTGCTGGGGATGCCACTCAAGAAGGATTTGTTTGTTTTTGGTAGCAGGTATTGAACCCAGGAGTGCTTAACCACTGAACCATACCCCCAGCCCTTTAAAATTTTATTTTATTTTCAGATAGGGTCTCACTAAGTACTTAGGGCCTCATTAAATTGCTGAGGCTGACTTTCAACTCGCAACCCTCCTGCCTCAGCCCCCCAAGCCGCTGGGATTATAGGCAGGTACCACTTGGCCTGGCCCAAGATCATGTTTGATGTTTAGTCTTCCTGGGGTGCTGGGGAGCAGAGGGTCTCTTCAGGACAATAAATCATCATGAGACTTGATGACTCCATATGAGAATCTCAGAGGTGAGAGATGCGGTCTGGATGAGTGTGAGGGGATGACAGGGAAGAGTGCCCAGTCCTGGGTCAGGTGAGCCCCTGGGCTACCACCTGGACTTTCAGACTGCACCTGTGTGACTTTGTGCTAGTCACTCACTTAGGGCCATGTATACTCTTCTGCCCACCCAGAATTACCTTAACAATATGGCAGTTATGAAAACTTCAATGCATTGGATTTATTTTCTCTTCACTAGAGAAAGAAGGTAGGACAGAATTCCAGGCTTCTGCTGTCCCATTAAAATATCTGGCCCTTTGATTTCTTAAAAAAATTGTTTTTAGTTGTTGATTGACCTTTATTTATTATATGTGGTGCTCACTTAGAAAAAAGAAAAAAAAAAGATTTTTAAAGGTTATA